AATCACCTAGTACATGTTAGGATATACTAGGTATAAAAGTGGTATAAAGTTCAAATATAATTCTATGATTCCACACTTGTGAATCTAAATTATACCTAGACGCGGCAAATACACCAAAAAATGGTAAAAGTAACTAAAGTAATGGGATAAACCATGATCAAACACCATTTTAAACGGTGCTTGGAGATGCTTGGACGGTCTACATATACAGTAGACTTATAGGATTTTGGGGTTACATAGGACTTAGGATTCCGGATTCAAACCTAGTTGGAGATACTAATGGGGAAGCTAGCCCAAAAACGGCGGCAACAATGGGGTGAGCAATGCTCGGCGGTTGGTGTGTAGCAGTCCGTGATGATGCGCTTACCGAAAAAGGGCACCCACCTAGCCCGGTTGCTGAAGTCCTGGAGGTCAGTCCGCGGCATAGCCGGCGCTGCTTGGGTTGGGCCGGGTCAAAGGCTCACTTCGCACGACTTTTTCACTGACCCTTAGGTAATCTGCGGCAGCAAGGAGCGCCGGGTGCGTGCCGTTCAGCTTCGGCTCATTACAGGGGCGTATAAGGTGTTGCATAGAGGAGCGGCTAAGACCCATTGATCAAAGCATAGTGGGTTTGATCCAAAATTTGTTTTTGGTATAACCAACACATAAGCGTTGGAATTGAGCTCATAAGGGCCTGTCTGAATATAGGGTATCCATAGATCTGCTGAGTGACAACATCATGATAACATTAAAACTTATAACTTGTAACTATACTGAAACAAGCATTGTGCAAATATACCCAATCTTCACACACTCAAATATCATATCAAGTGTGTTGTACGTCGTTGGTGTTTCTGAACATGAAAAATAACCTTTAACATACCCAATAAAATATGTCTCAACATATTCCGACAGTGGCATACAAAACCATATCATGAGTGTGCTTCTCCACTAATATGGCCATGAAACCACCACGAAATCATGAAAAAAAAACATGAAATCCGCCAGTTTCCTCGGTTAACGGTTAACCATCTTGACATCTCCATTACATCCGCTATGGATCTTGCCTTCTCAGGAACTGTTGGCATCCGTAGGGATACAATTTTTCAAGGCTATATTTTGGAACATATCCACAGCATTCCTGGTTCCCAGGGCCTGTCGGTTACGCGAACCCAATGCCATGCCCAGCTGTGCCATGAAGTCTTCTCCGGCCTGTGGGTTTTGACCAACCAAACATGCTGGAATTTAAGCACAATGCACAAAACTTCATATGCCGCTAGGCGGCTTAACCCCGGGCCAATTTGGCCGTGCCAGGTTGTCGCCAGAAACCACAACCACAACCAGCAGTATGAAATTTGGGTTTGTCTGGAAATGTGGATTTCACCGGCCAAAAAAATGGAGGGAGAACAGTCTGATGTTACTCTGAATTGGTGGCCTTTTTTGAAAGGGAATTGATATTTCAAAGCGCTGTATTTAGGGGGATCCCATTTTTGGACAAAAAGAAGCCCATTTGAAACCATAGTATTTTGCCAGATGATCATGGGGGTAGGCTGCAACCATTGAAAATAGGAACAAAAACTGTGGAAACCAGACATTTGAATATTTCATGTATATATGATATTCAGTTTAATGGGTTTGCTCCTGTGTTTTGATTCAACCACTACATTTCCTCGTTATTTTTCTTTACAGGTGTAATCTGGTCTCATCATAATCACATGAATTACCAGAAATCACTGAGATACCAGAAATTCCTACTTGCATGCTGTTACACAGTCATGCGGCGCCAAACATGTCAACCCCCCCAGATTCGAGTTCCTAGACGTTCCCAGAAACATTGGTACCACTTCATCTGCGGCCCTAAGATGGTACCCCAATTCTAATGATCAGCGGCCCGGGGAAATCATTGGTTTTTCAAGTGTTTCTGGCCGCTCAAAGACCGCTGACGGATTGAGGAATTGCCACTCTGATCCAATGTTCAGCACCGAGGGTTTGAAATGCCGAATATCTGTTTAACGATCATCCACATCCAAAATGCCTCAGATAAGTATATGTATCCACATCCAATTCAATGGTTTTTTTTTCCAAGAAATTCCAAGACAATCAAACCCTACCCAGAAAACAATGGCACCTGTCGCACACCAGAGGAAAAGCCTTGTAGCCAAGCTCGTTGTTGACCTGGCCCACGGCCAAAAAAGCGACTTGTCTTCTTTCAGATGTCGAGACTTCTTCCAGTTACCAGTTGGTGGTTGACCTACCCCCCTGAAACAGATTAGAGTTGCTTGGTGGTTTTAACCATCATGAAACATATGAGTCAATATATTATGGAAAAATGAAATTCATGTTCCAAACCACCAACCAGATCATCATTGAAGATTGGAAATACTCCGAATCGCCAACCAGTCTCGGGATTGTGGTCACGTCGACATAGGAGATATCCCAAGTCCATCTTCATGTCGGAGCAAGTGTGTCATATCGAAATGGGTATGGGTCAAAATTGAGTACCCTAATCATTAGACACAGATGTATAAAATAGAAATGTGATAATAGTTTTTTTGTGGGTTTACCTAATCATTAGATGTTTAATACCAACAAAGGACTTCAATCTGTGCTCCAGGTAGACCCACACCCAACCATCCGACCAGCACCACGACCAGCCCCGATCTACAATTCTGTCGTCAGATTCCGAACACGCTGTGAACGCATCCATCCGGCATGAAGAAACATTGGCTCCAAGTGATTGCCCGGAGTACTTGGATAGCTTGGATGCTTATATGTTTTTTTAAGTATTTTTGTTGCAAGCCCGTGAATGGTAGGGACAAATCCAAAAACTGTCTTAAAACTGCATTCGAACCTTGCTTTTCAACCTCAATACCCATACATGAGCTACCCATAAATGGATCACTGGGAATGTCATGAGCTCTAAAAAACAAAAACAACAAAAACATACAAAAACCGTCTACTCTATGCTGTACACCGAAACTAGGTAGTAAAACCATACCCTCGGACCCACAGATGAGTATCCTGAAATCTGGCAACAGAATCACTTCAGAACACAGTCCCACCCATCACTTCAGAAGACACCCATTTTGAATCACTTTGGAACACACTTCTAGCCATCACTTCAGAACACATCCTCATTGCAGCTTCAACGGCTCATTCCACTCTAATACCTATTACTAGTCTCTTCCTGGTCTTGGGGGATCTTGTGCTCAACTAGCCATTTAGAGTTTGTTTGGGTGGGAATGGTTTGGTCCAAGCTCGGTTCTGAAGGCAAGTATGATGACTATGTTCACTCATGCACCTCTGATTTTTCAACATCAAAGTCAACATTCAATAAAGATCGAAATTTAGTCAACATGTTGACAGTTCTCAATTTGTGCACCTCAAGGAAAACAATTGGTTGCACTTCTCTCTGGCAAACATGCCAACCAAACAGTCAAACACCCTTGGATTTCCCGTATTCGTGGTGCTTGAAACCAACCAGTGTCATTTGGGAAATTCTATTTTGCGGACGTAGGATCATCTTTCGCATTCTAAAGCGATATTTGAGTTCACGTTCCAAAGCGATCGATGGTTGGCTCCGCGATCTAAAGGGAGGGGTATGTCACTGCTGGGTTGTGCTATCGTCGTTGATGGTCTACGCACTTAAGAAGTAAAACACCTACATGTTGATTGGCAAACGTCCTAAACACAAAGCATGGAATATGTGCATGTTCTATCTATTTAAGTATGTTATGTTTATATTTAAATGGTTTTATATCTATCTGTGGAATGTTGGTCATGAAATATCCTCAATTATCCCATGATATCCCATAATGAATGTCCCCCAAAAACATGGCCGTTGAACTCACCCATGCCACCCATCATTTCAACGCGTTTTAATGCTATAAATATCTAAACATCACGACATCCCCATGAAATCCCACAGCTTTTTGATGTCTCAACCGTCCTGGAAATCGTGAAACCATCGATCCCAAAAAAACGCACCGCGTCGCGCACCTCCCACTGAGGACAGTTGCTGCTCCATGGCCTGGACGGGCGCTTCTTGGAAAAAGGGAGAGGAGATGTATATCCTATGACTCCTATTTTGGCACATAATACATATATACATACTAACACACGCATATAATATAATATAATATAACATAATATAATATAATATCATATAATACAATATAATACAATATAATGTAATATAATATAATAATATAATAGAATAATATAACATAATATGATATGATATGATATGATATTATATAATTTTAATCTAATCTAATATAATATAATATAATCTAATCTAATCTTTTATTATATTATATATATATATGGATGTAATATATATATATATATACGTGTGTGTGTCTGGTATACAATGGATGGTATAGTATACATGTACCCATTATATATCCATATACTCCATGAAACCGTCTATTTGTTGATGGTTAGTCCCACTAAAGAACGAACTTTAAATATCCATTAAGTATAATAGGGACTATAGGGATTTAACATCAACAAATATGGGTTTTATTGGATTTAATGGACATATATATTTATACACCGTATATATATATATACATACATACAAGGCTTAAGGGAAGGGTGCCCCACGCCGTTTCCAGCAACTTTTGCCTCAGCGGGTCTTTGCCGGCGACCCGCGGGCTCCATAGCGGGGCCTGATCTACGGCTGGTGGTCTTCTTGCAGCACCAGGCGACTGTGGTTGTCTTTGGCTGGGGGACCATTTTGTCTTCTTCGCCTACAGCAAGGTGGTGTCCTTCAAGGTGGGCTGGGAATTTTATGGTCTTTCTCATTGGACTCTTCTTCACAGTCCTGTCTGTAGAGGGCCATTACCAATTCATTGAGGCGCAGACAGCGCCGCAAAAGAGCGCAGGCAAGGCGCCTGTGGTTCTTGCACAAAACTGGGGTCAGAACGCTTGGTGGTGTGGAACTGCGAAGCGTTTTTGGCATCCTCAGGCATCATCATTCACGCGACTTTTCCTTTCTTCAGAGGATAGCGACCGAGATGGCGCAGTCCGAAGTGGATTGGAGGTGCCGAGCGTGCTGGCGCACGAACAAAGCCAACACGGGGAAATGTGCGCGATGTGGCATTCTATGGTCTCATGGCCAAGATGTCACCTATGTGCCACAGAAGCAGACCCGGAGTCCGAGAAGGGCGACATGGAACTATGCTGGGCAGCAGTCGCAGCAGACATGGGCTACGTGGGCGGATTCCCAATGGGCAGACGCGCAACACGGAGCCAAATCACAGTGGACCAAATCGCGTGGCAATACTCCAAAGAAGCGCACCTCAAGTCGGAAGAAGGGCAAGCCAGTGAACTACGGTGCTCCCGAAGTAGAACCTCCTTGGCAGCCAAACTACTCAGGAGGGCCCACAACAAGCACGACTGGCGAGGATTCTTCAGGTGCACAGGAGAAGCTTGCGATATTGGCGACAGCGCTTCAAGAATCGAACACGACTCTTGCGCCCAACGTCAGGGACATCGTGAACGAGCACACGACCCCGGCCCCTTCGACCAAAGGTCTGAAGGCTGCGGTCGACAAGATGGACAAGGCCAGGAAGAAGCTCAAAGAGGCCGAAAAAGCAAGATACAACATGCACGCAGCATGGCGGCGTTACATTGCCGACTCACTACAGCGATGGACACAGTTCGCGGAGAAGTTCGGCAAGGACGATCAAGAACTGGCAGAGCGAGTCCGAGCTGCGAAAGAGAAACTGCAGGCCACAAAAGAAGAGGTCGACACCAAGAAGGCAGCGTTAGAAGAGGCGGACGAGGAGGCTCACATCGACATTTCGGACGACGACATGCAGGAGAAGGTGGACTCTGCGGAGAACATTCAGGCCAGCTTGACCAACATGGTGGCCAATCTCCACGACCTGCAGCAGAAAGCCGAGGCCGCGATCGTCGAAGCAGGAGAAACCAAAACCAAGCGACAGCGCACAGAAGAGCCTGGTCATGGATCCTCTGCTGCTCCTCCATCTTCCAAGAACTCTTCATTGGAGCCTTTTGGCGGGCCAGGCAAGTAGACTTATCAGAGACTTGCTCATGGCAGGAGACAGGCCCTTCACCAGCTCTTTTGAACTGGGGCCACAGTTTTGTTTATGAGCCTGAGTTTCAGTCCACATGGGAAGCTTCGATCAATGCCATCGATTTGGCTTGGGAGATGGGAACGCTTCAGAGTGGACGGCCCTCGGGTTTTTCCAATTCATTTACATTGCCGCGATCACGCCGCCAGTTTGACAGGACGACATCCTTGAGGTTTTCTGAGCACCTGGAGTTCTATGTGGGTTTTGAGCACTCCGGGAAGATGACACGGTTTCAACTTCCTTTGTCATCCTTTTCACAACACGCGGCTCTACGAGATTGGCTCCAAGATCCAAATGCAGGGTCCACGAACACCGCGGAGGACGAAGATGCCACCGACGAGATTTCGTGGATGTCTGCACATGTTCCAAGAGATCCTGGAGCTCCTCTACCATTTCAGAATCGTGATGCAGCTGTAGTTGCTGATCTTCCTGCAGCTGCTCACCAAGAAGATGATGTTGAGATTGAGGTCGAGGCGGCTATTGAAGACCCCAGCAGCTCTTCTGAATCGGAGCGTCCACAAGAGATGAGGCATTCCACTATGGCGTTCTTCATGGATCGAGATCCCATGCACTGCAGGCCAAGATGGTGCACATATGAGGATCTACACAGGGATATCACAGAGTACTCATCGCTTGGCGCTCACGACATTGCCCGAGTTCATGTTGTTGGCCAACCACCGGAAGATCTACAGATGGCAAGTGTTCGCCCTGTGATAGTCCAGCAACCGCAAGACGTCACTGAAGGCTCTACTTTTCAATTGGTTCTTCTTGATGTGGATTTTCACAATGCCCTTCCTTCACTCGAGGCGGAGACTGTCAGGCGAGTCAAGTTGCTTCCTCAGACCATTTCTAGGAAGGCTCTCATCGCGGTTCTGGGACTCCAGCCATATTGCAACTATGCAAGGAAGACGTGCCTTGTGTGGCACAATCGTCATCCAGTTGCAGCACAAAGCAAAGCGCTTTTAGACCTCAGGCATGGGGACTATGTGAAACTGGCTGTTCCCCCAGGGCGCGGTGATCTACGTCACCAGCACACGAGAGACGTTGCACAGTGCATGAGGAGAGGATATCGAGCTAGCAACATACCAACCCTCATGGAGGCGTTTCCTCAGGGCATTGATGTTGCAGACATGCCAGTCATTGACACGTTCAGTTTCATTCCCAAGCCAGAGGACTTGGATTATGATAGGGATGCCATGACTTTGATGCAGATTTCAGGCCCGCACAGACCCTCCTTTGATCCCTGGCCGACCTTCCTGACGCGGTTTGACCAATGCGAGGCTCCTTTGTGGCAGCTCAAGGTGGGAGAAGAAGACAGAGTAGAGTCAAGGATTCTCACGACTTCAGAACAAGTACAACTACCTGGCGATGGAGTTCAGCTTCGTTTTGGCAATGAGATTCCTTTTCTACAAGATCTTCATCCGTTTTGGGCACATTTTGCAGCAGTGGAAATTGAAGAAGAAGGCAGAGTTCTGTACATTCAGACCTGGTTTTCTGATCACGAACGTTTTCCGACTTGCGGAACATCGCGTCCGGTACGGTTGCTTGCAGACCCTTGGAGCTGGTTAACAACCATTGCAGAGGCCTGGGATGACAGGGTCGATTCAGACAGCACCATTGACTTCTTTGTCATCTTCCCGCAGCCACGCAGTCAAAACTGGGACCCTCAAGCCGGTGTTCAACATGTTCTACTGGTTCAACATCCGGCACCAGACAAGCGCAGTGTTCACATTTCGTTAGTTGACACACAAAGACCAGAACAAGGTCTTCAAATGTTTGTCACGGCTGCACCGTATCCAATTCGCAAAGTGGACTTCTTTGACATCTTGGGCATCACAGATCGCAGGTTTGTCAGTAGTCTTGTTGATTGCGCAGTTTGGCATGGTGATTATGAGCTTGATCATGTGCAGCAGTACCCAACGAGACACGGATTGAGCTTCATCGTCATACGGAATCACCTACAAGATGTCATGCGAAGGGCAGCTGCGGCGAGCTCTGCATCCAGCTCACTTGGCCCCTCACTTCTTCAGGTCAAAGTTGAGGTTCAGAGCAAACGAACGGTCATTGCACTTTCGGATCTTATTCCAGAAGGTCAAGCTGAGACTGAGTCGGGCTACATCCTTGCCAGAGTCAAATGGTTTCTTCATGAGCAACCACATCCAGACTTTTTGACGCTACCACAGGCGCCCTCCAACATTGAGGTTGAGCAGGAACTTTTGCATTGGGGGCTGGAAGTGAGAGCGATCGTTTGTTTGGAACGCGACTGTGTTCTTTGCTTGCCTCGCACGTTGCCCAACCATGGTAGGTTCGACTATTTCTTCGTGAACATGGACGCTGAGGATGAAACCGACATCTTAGCCCACTCCGCAGACACCAAGTTGTCAGAGATGAGACTTATGCAAGTCCTTTATCAGCTTGGGTACTGGCGGGCAGTGATCATGCAGCAAGATGAAGTACATCCACAGGTCTTCAAGATTCTTTTCAAGGATCAGAAGGTCATTACAATGAAACCTCCAAAGAAGCCTCTGCGAGAAGCTGTTTGGCCTCCTCAACAGTGCGGAAATAGAGGGATGTCACCTTTTTTCCAGCCTCCCATTTCTTTTGGCAGTGATCAATTGGTCGACATTGGCGTCTCGGTGGAGGACATGCATGACTTCTTCAACTCCCATCAAGGATCTTTGCGGTCAGACCTCGACGGGTACGAGCTGCCTGAAGAAATCCAGACTGCAATCAGTGCCTGTGATCAGTCACTGAGGATGGACGACCTTGACCGCCTGCTCATTTATGCAGACGGATCTTCGATGGGTTGTGCCAAGCATACAGCACCACAAAGAGCAGAAGAAGAAGGAGTTGGAGATACTTGGGCCTATGTTGTTCTAGGTGAGAGGTATCAACCACCAGGGCTTCGCTTCATTGGATGGAGCGCACATCCCGTGATCTACGAGGAGGGCCACAATTACCACCTTGGTGCCAAGCGGGTTGGTGCAGACATTGCAGAGAGGGAAGCCCTCACTTGGGCAGCCCTTTGGCGGCTCAGTCAAAACTGGGCCATTCCAACCTGCTTCCGGTCGGACTCCAGAGTTTCCTTAGGCCAGGCGGAAGGCACAACTGGATCGGCTCAGATCGATGACTCTTTGGTTTTCCTACGTGGGTCTTTCCAGGCGCTTGAGGCAGCCCTGGGATCAGATGGAGTGCTTTATGCGCACGTGCCTGGACATGTGGGTGAAGTTTGGAACGAGCTTTGTGACTGGCTTGCGAAAAATGAAAGGCAGAAGAGCCACTACTGCACCAGACCGAGCTTTGCAGTTCCCAAGTGGTCACAGGCCATCGCACACCTGTGGATGATCTTGCGACCACAGGTCGACCTACCGCAATTTTGTGGCCACGGTCTTCACGCCCCTGCTCCCACACTTCCAGCTCATCATCAAGCCGCCAAGACGCCGCGCATCGAGCCACCGCAGTGGGACCACATGAGATTCACGTTCAGCGCGTGTACTGCCAATGTCCAGTCTCTTTGCACTCCTCCAGAGGGACATGGTGGTAAGATTGACTTTCTGAGGCGCCAGTTCGTTGAGTTTGGCTTCAACTTTCTTGGCATTCAGGAATCCAAGACGGACGAATTTTGTTCTTGTGTAGATGATGTCTACAGACTCAGTGCAGGGCATCACAATCACCAACAAGGGGTTGAATTATGGATCAACCTCAAACAGCCGTATGGCTTCCTACGTGGCAAGCCACAGTTCTTTGCGCGTGGAGACTTTCAAGTTGCTCATCGTGATCCCAGGATTCTTCTGGTTAGAGTTGACTCTACACTGTGGCACGGATGGCTTCTGGTAGGCTATGCTCCTCAGAGTGGCCTGACTGCGGACAGACGAGAACAATGATGGCAAAGTCTTTCAGAGATTCTTTGCAAAAGACCACTGAGTGATCCACTCATTGCCATGCTGGATGCAAACGCAGCACCGGGCGAGTTTGATGGCGCAGCGATATGGTCACAGGGGCTCCCTACATCGTCCAGCACACCATTTTTCCGTCGATTTGTGACGGAACAAGACCTATTTCTTCCATGCACAACTCCATGCCATCAGGGTGCCATTGAGACCTGGACGGATCCCACGGGTCTCAACAAGCACTGCATTGACTATGTGCTTTTGTCTTCTCATTTCAGCGAAGCCTGTGTCCTTTCACGTGTGGTCACAGAATTTGACTTGGGCACCAGCAGTTGGGACCATGAAGCCACGGCAGTCGAATTCACATGGACTTCTTGGGTTCCTCATGGATCACCTGGTAAAGGAGAAGGCCTTGGTTTTGATCCTACGGCAGTCACGGCGGCCACAGTCAAGGAAATTTTGCATCATCATGAACCTGCAGCGTGGGAGACCAACATTGAGGACCATGTGCACGAGTTCACCAGGTCACTTCTTGATGGCTTGCGAGAAAGGTGTCCGATACAGAAATCAAAACCAAAGAAGCGCCACATCACACCAGAGATTTGGGTGCTACGTGAACAGAAACTTCGGGCCAAGAAGCGGCTAAAGAACCTCGCAGTGCGACAGCGTGAAGAAAGTTTGGGAGTCATTTTCAGAGCCTGGAAAGGACAGGGTGGATCTTTGGTGAAGGCAGACAGCTTTCTGCTCTCCCACAACGCCCTTTGGATCCACAATCTTCACCTTGTTGCGCTTTATCGCCGTGCAGCGCATGATCTTCGCAAGCAGCTTTGCAAGGCGAAGCAAAATGCCCTCAAGGTTACATTTGAGGCTATGGATGCGAATGCGCCTGCCAGCCAAGTTCTACATGAACTCAGGCCGATTCTTGGACCCACCAATTTGAAAAAGCTCAAGGCCCATACGCTTCCTCATGTGAGAAATGCGGCCGGAGAAGTCTGTAGTCTCCCCAATGAGGCTGTGGAGGTCTGGCTGGAATTTTTTCGTCAAATGGAAGGAGGAGTTCGTATGGATCATTCCACTCAACGGACTATCTGGATCCAGAATCTAGCAAGACTACGCCAAGAGTCCTTCATAATTGATGCAAATGAGTTGCCACGGCTTCTGGATTTGGAAGCGGCATATCGTAGGATTAACCCTACGAAAGCAGTTGGCCCTGACAAACTACATCCGGCAGTATGTCGTGCGCATCCTCCCTCCATGGCGAGACAGACGTTCAGCCAACTTTGGAAGCTGAGCCTTCACGGACAGGAAGACCTTTCGCACAAAGGGGGCATTTTGCACCCGATCTGGAAGTCTAAAGGCCCCAAAGATCGATGCGAAGCATACAGGAGCATTTTAGTGTCCAGTTTCGTTGGCAAGAGTTTACACAGATGCATCAGGCAAAGACAGACTTTGCTGTTTGAGCGCTTCCTACAAGCAGAACAACTTGGGGGCCGCCCCACGGTCCCGGTGACCTTGGGCGTTCATTTGGGCCGCTCCTTCGTTCGTGATCGCCATCGACGTGGTCACAACATAGCGATGCTGTTCATCGATCTTACAGAGGCCTTCTATCGCATCTTGCGCACGCTTGTGACAGGAGAGCCGGCGGATGACGAGCTCATCATGAAGGTTGGACAGAAGCTGGGGTTCACTGATGATCTCATGCAGGAGCTCTACAACCACCTTGCGGAGCCAGCGGCACTCGCAGCGGCGGGGCTTCCTGCACACATGCAGAACGCGATCAAGGCGTTACATGTGGACACACATTTTGCAGTCCGCGGGCAGGCTGACGTCTGCCGCACAGCCTTAGGCTCTCGCCCAGGCGACTGCTTTGCGGACGTGATTTTCTCCTACCTATGGGGCAGAATTCTTCATCGTTTTCAAGCCTCGCTCAAGGCCATGGACATTGACGAGCAGATCCCGCAAGACGATGGATTGCGTCTTCGTTTGCCGGATGAAGCCCCTGAAGGAAAATTTTGCAGTTTCCTTGGGCCTACGTGGATGGATGACACGTGCATTTGCGTGTCAGATCCTGATTCACACCAGCTGGAGCGCAAAATCCATCAAGCCACGGGAAGACTTTTGGAGCTGTGCACCACCCACGGGCTTACCCCCAATCTGGGGCCAGGCAAGACTGAAGTTCTCCTGATCTTTCAAGGGAAAGGCTCCAGGCAACAGAAGATCAAATATTTTGGACCCACTTCTGACAAGACTTTGAAGATTGTGGGTGAGAAGGGGATGCAATCCGTCAGAGTGGTGCAACACTACACGCATTTGGGCTGCATCCTTCATCACAAACAGGACAATCGGCGTGAAGCTCGTCGTCGTGTGGGCATAGCGCAGCAGACCTTCTCGCAGCATAGGCGCCATTTGCTGCAGAACCCTGCGCTGTCATTGGCTCGTAGAGTCGAGCTCTTCAAGACGTTGGTCTGGAGTCGTTTCTGCTTTGGTACGGAATCATGGACCCTAGATGAAAAGGGCACCAAAGAGTATGTTCACAATGCACTGGTCCGGCTTTTCAAGAGATTGATCAAAGCGGGTCATGATGCTCACCTTTCTGACGATGACGTCTTGGTTGAGACAGGCCTCAATAGTCCCTCGGAACTTTTGCGCATTTCACGGCTCCGATACATCGGTACTCTATACCGTTGTGGTCCACGTGTTCCATGGGGGCTGATCAACAGTGACCAAAAGTGGACTACTCTGATTGCGGATGACTTGACCTGGCTTTGGCACCAACTGCAAAATGCTTCGACGCTGCCGGATCCAGCGGTAGCGTTCGGTGTTTGGGAAGACCTATGGTTACACCATCCTTCGTACTGGCGCCGACTTGTTCGAAGAGGAGGTGAACATGCAATACTTCAACGGCGACGTCGACACCGTGTTGAAGGTTTTCACCAGAGCTTTGCACGATGCTTCCAGCAGCTTGACCCACAGAGCTTTGGAGATGAAGCCCTTGGGGCTGCTGACGAAGAACCAGCCAGAGATGATGAAGTTCACGCATGCATGACGTGTCGCTGTCTTTTCAAAAGTCGTGGAGGACTTGGGGCGCATCTTTTCAAGCGGCACGGCATTCCTTCACGTCTACGTCTTTTGTTTGACAGCACGAGTTGTGGACACTGCCTGAAAGAGTACCACACTTTCAGCAAGTTGCAGGCCCACCTCCGCCATTCACAGACATGTCGTGAACATCTCTGGGGACGCAGATACAGATTTACTCCAAGTAGCGGGACTGGGTCAACCATTGACAGGTCTCTATGTTTGGCTCATGATGGGCTTCTTCCACCGCTCCAAGCTGCCGGTCCTCGCCAAGAAGATCAACCAGCTGTCGAACTACCTGCGCATGACCTTCGACTTGCAGAGGAGATTTACCTTGCAATTTTGGAAGATGAGGGGCAGACGGATCTACAAGCTCTGGTTCGTGGAGTTGTGGCGCGTCGGGTCACTACATGGACCATCTGGTGCGCCACCATCAACTACATGCTGGAGATTATGACGGAGGCGGACATTGAAGTGCTCAACGTCGGGGACATTGACATGAGGCGGCTCCTACGTGGACTTCTACAAGTTCAAGCATGGGCCTTTCTGGTGGACGAGCGATGTTCACGGGGTTCTCCGCAGAGACCCACTTTGGAGGCAGTCGAGCAGGGCTGTCTTCATGCCAGAGCATCGGCATCGACGCGCCCGAGACTATGGGAGGTTCCGAGACCCATGGCCAAAGAACGCTTCGTGATCCACGCGTTCTCGGGCAGGAGGCGTCCAGGAGACTTTCAGTTCTTTCTGGACGAGGCACAAGCCAACTTCCCCGAGGTCACCATCTTCACGATCTCCGTGGATCTCATGACGGACCCGCTCTGGGGTGACGTATCACGTCACTCTGTACGTGAGTTTTGGCTCACAGCTGTGCGTCAGAGGCAGGTCGTTGGGGCGCTTGCTGGACCCCCGTGTGAGACGTGGTCACAGGCGCGTGGCAGCAAGCTTTCTGGAGCTGACGGCCGCCATCATGGACCTCGAGTTGTGCGTGACATCGAGGCACTATGGGGCAGGGCTTCGTTAGCTTTGAAAGAGGTGAGACAGTTGGACATTGGGAACCTCCTCCTCCTTTTCGTTTTGGAACTCCTCATCAATCTCGCCATGACTGGCGGAATTGGAGGCCTGGAGCATCCTGCTCCACCGGCCGATCCCTTGAAGGCAAGCATTTGGCGACTTCCTTTGATGTTGTATCTGCTGGAGTGGCCGGAGTTCCAATTTCTTGAGATATCCCAAGGGTTGTGGGGAGCGCCGTCTCGCAAACCTACGGGACTTTTGCTTTTGAACCTCGAGAATATGATCCCCGCATTGCGAAGCTGGCAGCTCACGCTGGAGATGCCGAAGGGCAGCAGCATCGGCTTGAACGCGGACGGGGATTGGGCGACGGGGGTGCTGAAAGAGTACCCTCCGGCGCTCTGTGCTGGCCTCGCCAGTGGTTTTCTTTCTGCGCTCCACGAGCATAAAGTGGACGCGCACGCCGAGATCAGTCCCGCATTCCGAAGGCAGGCCCTAAAGATGGTTATGACAACCGAAGGGGCGTGTATAGGCCCGGATTTTGCGGCGTGAACGATCTCTGGATAGAATTTGAGCATGGCCGCAGCAGATGTTGCTACATTGTGCCAACAGGGAAAAATACATACATACATACATATGGGTATATAATGGGTATGACTCTATGACCATCCCTATGGATCCAGCCCTACCTGAGATGTTGGCGTTTTAATTGGAGAAACTGGTGGTGTCCTGTAGAAGTTCCCGGGACAACGATCCTAATCAACATAGAGAAAAACAAAACCACATATAAACATATGTATATATATGCACATGGGATATTTAAATACTACATGCATATAGACATATGATGACACATGGATATAGGATGATACATATTACATGTCAAAATATCATTGCCTTTCAAATGCGTATTAGAGTAGTGGACAAAGTTATTTGTTAAATTTAATGCCATGCCCAAATTCAGTCGTCCCCTGTCGGTTGTGAGGATTTCAGTGTTCTCGGAAGTATCGCAAATGAGGTATCGGTATAGGGTCGTCCCCTATCGGTCATGAATCATGAAGGTTTTGTGCAACCTCAGAAACGCTAAGGCGAAGCAAAACTAAATTAGTATTACAATGATTTTGTTGGTTACTCATATTATGCATGAGATAGCATATCGACAAACCAAAATGCATGCACACACACACACATAGAAGGAAGGTTGTGTGCTGGATCTTAAGCTCCAAGCCACAAAAGGAAACCCAATGGCTCTCGCCTACTGTAAACTGATGGTTTTCAGCGTTGGAGCAAATCAAGTCGTTGGGAAAAGATCTAACTCTTCGTTGGGATTGGATCCCAAACAGGAGGCTGCCCGGCAATGACCTTCTTGAGTCCTACCAAAGGGTGCGTCCTAAAATGGCGAGGAGTATACACGAAACACAACATGGCCATTTAAACATCCAGATACGCTGATTGTTGCTTACTATCAATATCGACATGAACATATATATATATATATAACACTTATAAACCAATATATATATATATATAATTAAAAACCAGTAACTATCATTCATTAACCCACCATTGACCGAAGATCTTCTCCGACTCCGCCTGTAGGTACTGGTGCTGTCTTGCCACTGGTCGAGGTCGCGGGGCCTTGGACAACCCCTTTTTGTGGGGGCTGTGGTTATAGCAATGGATGATAAACAGTGGTTATAGCAATGTTTTCAGACAGAAAATACATAGTTTGTAAATTGTTCGCGAAACTGGTGATGTAGCCTTAAAATGAACATAGATAACGGGGTGAAAAACCTTGGGGAAAAAAGGGTCGGTGAAAATAGGCCATCCATTCTTTTGCGACAAGGAACAATTAGGAGAAGCTCTCAGAACATTTTTTTTGTCTAAGCCACGATGGGAATAACACAACCCAGTACTGACAGTGGTACTGTAGTATGTGGCAATATATATATATATATAATCTACAGGGAGAGATCTATAGGATGATCTGAGTTAGATTTTGAGGCATTACGGATTGCAGAGTGTGGCTACAGTAAACCGGTTCATATTTATATGTTGATACATTCTCATGTTGGATTTTTGGGATACACCGAACCATCATCGAACATCATCGAACCATATTACAAATCCCATTTCTTAGATCGTCAAATCATATAACATCACCATGTTTGGTGGCTAAAGTCCTACTTCTGCTGACAGATCCACATTGTAGATGCTTACATATGGTGTTTCCTGAGAAAAAAACAAAAACTCATGTTTACTGGTTAAGTCCTCTATATAGATGGTGAAGTAAGGCCCTCTCGCAGTTGTAAGTTGGTTTATAACCCCATCTAACTGGTTCAATATATCCCTCCGCAAAATCGCCAAACGGCTAATATTCATCAACAGCATCCCCAAAAAAGTAATCATAGGCATTCCAATTGTATAGAATCACTGTTGCAGTATCATCCCACTCCAATCCCATCTTTGCTGGTTTTCAGAACGGTTTTCTGTATGGAGTTATTTTGGATAATTCTTACCTGGTTGGGATAATCCAGAAAAGCCCAATGATTTAAAGTCCTACAGCCCGTTGGGATTTTACAGTCCCATTATATCCCAAAGTTGGGGGGCAATCATAATCCCACAAAAATTCCGAATCATAGTCAGCCCAGTAGTAAACATAGAGGTTTAAGATGTTTTAATCACGCAATAAATCTCAATGTTTCTTGATGAACATATATGGTTAAGTCCATTTTTGTTGTTTGATAATATTGATGTTTGGTATCTTTTTAATGGTTACATCATGAATAATCCAGTGAGTCCTGGTTTATATCCCAACTAGCGGGCTATATATATATATATATAAGTCCTGTTATATGAGTTGTATCCCATTATATAAAACATATTCAAACCGCACATCTTATCACATACTATACTTGCTATACCTCCTATACCTATCAAATATCGCTGTAGCCATTGGTCAGTCCTATGTTCTCCCAGCACAGCAACCCACCCAGGATGCCGAGCTGGAACTGGAGGTCGAGCAGGCGCTTGCTGCGGAGGCGGTCCCTGCGAACATCACAAGTTGCTACGCGGTAAATCAACGATTTTAATGGCCATTGATCAATAAATTTACCAGAGTGATACCTGTACTTCGCAAACTCAGATTGAGTATGATTCGATCAAAGTAAAATTTAGTACTGTAAGATGTAACTGGGTACTTGATAAATTGGCAACCTTGGGTTTGTCCAATAATGGGGTATGCCGCAGCCCAACACGTATTTTAAAATAAATAAGCATTGGGATTTTGGAGTACCCTCTTTTCAGTCAAAGCCATCTGAAAAATCAAACTACTAAGTCAGAAATGTTTGCTAACTTAGGGACTCTTGGGGTCTTTCTGGAAGAAACTCAACCAAGAATAGGCAAAAGAAAAACAACGAATATCCACAATGGGGTGTGACTTGTAAACTACACATACTACAGTGGGAGCGTGGTACAGTGGTAGTTCGACTCTATATAGAAGAAGTCCGGATGGTTTGTAACAACTGTGTCTCGTTTTTATCAACCCGCTGTGATTGGGATAGTGCTTGGGTTGGAACCCAATTGTACTAAGGTATTGGTAAGTGATATAATTGGACAATAGGACAGTGATGGTGACGGTGTGATTTCTGAATCCTAAAGGCGTGGGTCAAGCAACAGAACATGCGAAAATTCATGATGCTCTGAAGTACCAATGTAGTCGACAATTCACAATCATGGAGAAGTCGCTGAATTCTACTTAAGTCGAAGCGGGTGTTTTGTTCAACCCTAAACCCAACTGGGATGTTGGTTGATTTGTGGATGACTTCTCAGATCATCCAAAGATATCCGCAGCTAACCGAGACTAGAACTTTTGAATGGTGATAGTTAGTTATTTCAGCAAGCCATTGACATTCAGATATCCTAAAGCCATTGCGAAATGCAAATGTTTCCTTGAATCCACTTCTATACCCATGTTACTATTGCTTCGTTGATCAATTCACCATCTTTCTTGGTTGAATCCTCAATGTTTGGCATAATTTAGCTATCTGAAAATAAATCACACATATCAATCCAAACATAAATCCAAACATTTCCAAACTTTCATGTGTCAAGTCCTAAGTATTCCTGACTTCTGTAACGGTTACCATCTGGTTATTTAACATAGCCATGGAAAGATCCACCATTTTTAATAGGTAAACCAGGTAAACCATCTATTTCGATTAGGGCCATCGAAAAACCATGGCTATGTTAAATAACCAGAGGGTAAATTCAACAGGTCTTTTTTCTATACATGAATTTCTATATCCCTAACGCTCCCGATATGATTGGGACCCTCCTGGGGCAAGGGACCCTCGAGGTGAGCGTGTTGAGGGTCCGACGGGAGATTTTTTGATTTAGGTGTGTAGTTTTCTGCAAATTCTCAGAACAATAATCCAAATGAAAGGTTCGCAATAGAACCATGAACATAGCCTCGAGCAGGTTTTATAAAGATGTTGGACTACAGTCCTGTTTGTAGACATCAATGGCGCGAAGATGCTTTTGCATAAGTAAGGTCGCACAACGGGTTGGATACTGGATGGCAAGACAAAAAGATGAAAAATGCTTAGATTGCGTATTCATTGCAAACATCTGCAAACAAACCAACCTTTAGTAGATACTGTACCCCCAAACCTCCATCTGAGTTGAAAGACTGTGGTTTTCTCGATGATTTGTGTTCCCGTTTCAATGCATGTTTTTTGGCCAAAATGTCACACTCCAAAAATGACATATCACTGGCACAACAGTTGCCAACCAAGAAATCAATCTTTACAGGGTGCATCAGGTGCCAATGCGTCGTTTTAATCTTTGAACAGATGCCAAACCAGTACAAAGTTTTGGAGCTGACCTTGAGACCATACAATACCACGCCTATGCATATTGTACTGTTTCTAAACGTTGAGTACTATATAGTATATCGTTATATTGTATAGGCAAACATGAGTAGTGGGAATGAAACCGAGATAAACAGAATGCAGAAGACAGGAGTAGATTCAACGGTGTAAAAACTTTAATTCGAATAGATAAAGAATAAATATGCGTGTGGTTGAGAGGTGTAAAACCAACATGGTGGAACTAAAAGGCATCTGGGCAAAACACGGAATCGCCATGTGTTCAATGGAGCAAACAAGGCAATATTAAACATACACACACCAAAAAAATGTGCGGGCAAAAAAAAGACAACAGGATAGCATGTAGTATTACATATTGTGAGTACTTTTTGACGACGGATTTGGCCATGAAAAGTGCTTGGAAGCAGAACAACATCCATTGCATAATTGCAGGACCCATGCCAGGCGCAACAAGCTTTTAAAGAGTATTCAAATCGGCACACATTAAAGCCAGGGTCGCATTTTGCGGGGTTCAGCCATTCTTCCGAGTGTAGCGGCAATTTTTGTTTGTGCTATACTCACTCTTTCCGACGTCTTTCCGACGCCTTTCCGATGTTTGGGCGGCGCGGGACCCTCAAAAGCTGCAGTTTTGAGGTTCCGATAGGTTCCGATGGAATGCTTCCCGATGCCTTTCCGATGTCTTTCCGATGTCTTATGTTGAGGCAGGAGGGTGTTGGAAAGAAAAAATAATTGGGAAGGGATTCATGCAAAGGAGTTATAGGAAGGGATTTGAAAGGTATAATATGGGGAAGGGATCGGCGAGGCATCGGGAAGGTATTGGGAAGGCACTCGAGACGGGCATCGGAAGGCATCGGGAAGGCATTGGAAAGCAATCGGGAAAGCATCCGAAAGCATCGGTAAGGCATCGGGAAGGCACCGGGAAGGCATCGGAAAGCATCGGGAAGGCATCGGAAAGCATCGGGAAGGCATGGCATCGGGAAGGCATCAGGGAAGACCCGTACCAACAAAGCCTAACAAAGTGCAGACCGTATCCATTTTGGTTTCAAGGCCAGTCTATCGGAGAACTGCTCAGCGTGCCCGTTCAGAAAAATAAATATCACAGTCATAGCGCAATAAAATGTAACCATATCAGTAAATACAAGCTTAGTATTGGTGCACATTCTATGAGCGCAAGTCGGGCGGATGTGCAAAGTTGATATACTTGAAGAAATATGTTTTCATAGAGTGTCTTACCTTGTTTTATTGTTTGTTTTAATCATATGATGAATATGTTTTTGTAATATTTAATAATGCAATATATAGACTGGATGGTGTACATATGCAACACGCTGTCCAACACTTTTTCAACTTATAAATAGATCATGACCATAATGTTGGGATAAATCCAAGTGGGTGGATTGACGATGGGTGATTCTCGTTGCTGCTACACTGGTTTACTCATTTGGAATCATTGGGGCCAAATCCGGACCACGCTGTTGATAAGACTCAGAGTTTGAAATCATCCTCATGTTTGGGTGTCGAACCAATGCCCACATATCATCACCTCCATGCTCTCCAGCTAGCAATATCTAGCACACCTACGAACTAATGAGAGGCAGCTATGCTGATGTCCTCAGCCACTTTAGGGGCAGCAGTATCAAGTGTCACAAGAGCAAAACATTTAAAGACAAGACCATGAATAGGACCGCAAGAGGGGTAAGAAACTGACCCCTGGACATCGTTGGACCCTCCTGGACCCTGTGGGATCGTCGGGTGGATTTCCTGAGGGTCCCAAACTCTCGTCATGAGGGTCCAGGGTCAGAACCCTCGTGGGGATGGTCAGAACCCTCGTAGGGAGGTACCCAGGAGCCTTTGGGATGTATTTATTGGTTAATTCATATGGTTGCTATAACCACAGCCCCAACAAGTAAAAAAAAAAAACGGTTGCACAACAACCGGCGCGCGAATATCTGGACCTCCCGAGCGATGCGCATGAAGGCACGGTCTCGGATCATCTGGGCCTGCAGTGATGGTGGCCAGCAAAATAGCTGGTTGGTGGTTAATGTACTGTTAATAATGGTTAATATATGGTTATTATACTGGTTAATGATGGTTATTATACTGGTTAATATACTGTTGATAAAAGTTAATGGTTAATATTAATGGTTATTTTATATGGTTGATGATGGTTTTTCTTAAATCTCAACGATAGTGAGATGCACTAAACATCAAGTATAAAACTATAGTAAGTTTATGATAGAAAAAGCTAGGGAACCAAAAAAAACACAACCATCAACTATGGTGAGATTATCAGAACTAACCATCAACTAACCATCAACTAACCACCAAAATCAAATATTAAGTCAAAACCCTGGGACCCAAACAGTACCCCCAAATAGCTCTTTATGGATGGTTATTCACCAACATATGGGGAATATGTAATAGATTTTGACCCATCCCCATATAGCATCAAACCACATCAACAATTGTAACTATTGTTCTGGTGCGTTTAATCATATGAGCCTTTGACATGTGATGTGCATCTGGAAGGGCACCCATTTTGCATTGTTTTCGCACGCCACACCAATGTTTGAGCTCAATCTACTCCACACCTGTCTTGAAAGGGTCGGACAACCCCAGAGGTTGGTGAGAGGGACTGAAAACTATGTTTTTATCTCTGGTTGTCGTTCCAAGGAAGTTACAGAATTGTTTATGTTGTAATACTCTGTTGATCTCTGTTGTATTATTTTGCGGCAATCCATACATTATTGTACAGCTTTTCTACAGGGATAATGTTTTATTTTTGTCGTCAATGCATTTGAACTATTCCTCTTCCCTGTGGGTTGTCCGGTCTGCGGGGGAAGAAAACCGAGACCAAAATTTGAGAACCGATCTATGATACAGATAGGAGCCGACGCGGACGTCCGAATTTCAAAGGCCGTGCCCTCAGTGTTCGATGAACGGAATCTGCCAACCTAGACTCGCAGCAGGAAGGCGTCAGGGGTATATCGGCATATCTATAAGATTTCCTGGGCATTTTTCACGGAGGCGAACGGGGTGTGGGAGTGGTTTGAGTTATTGGATAGCCGTGTCGGAATGACTACTCTAGTGTACAAACTCTACCATCTTATTTCGCTGGACTGTGAATACATATTATATGCCACGTCTTTGTGTTTTCGCTCTTTACAAAAATGAATATGAATTCATTTTACTCTTGTTACTCTTGTTGCTACCACACACACAAGTTTACCATGCCAGTGTCACGAGTCAAAGTCTCAAGCTTCCAAATCATCTAACCACAACTCATTGCCTGGGCATTGCTTGGATTTTGGGATCCTCAAGCCTCACAAAAGTCTTGCAATGCGTGGATGTGGATAGTATTCATTGACACATTCGTGATATTAACCTTCCTCATTTTAGATGCTTAACATCCCCAATGTTTCTCATATTCTCCTTTCATAAATTCTCCATTCTTCGGGGGGTCCCAGTCCCCTCCATGTCAGCTTCCGGCCAGGCATCCGCACCGATCTCCAGCGTCTTCTTCCTCTTAGCTCTTCGCCCCTTCCACATCCACCTGAAAACGCCAAGGGTACTGTTTGGGAGCTGCAGAATTGGACAGTGGTTTACACAAAATCCGTTGGGACATAGGCAAAAGTATCCATACGTTCCTTAAGGAATATGATGTTGAATGAAGTTGAAGCAAACCCGAATGGAACCTCACAACCAAACAATGGAGGAATCTCTAAACTGCTTGCTGCCTATAGTCGATCCCCACGATTAGGACCTGATATGATGAGTTTCATCAAGCCACATTCAGATTCCCATATGCTTATCACGTCGTATCCCTTATAACATATCCCGAAAAAATGCTTATTTCCATATTGCGTCCCCAAATTTGATGGTTAGTCAATACATAATTCAACAAACAACAACATCAAGAAACTGGGATATTTATATCATGGGGATATTTTTCTACCATATCATGGGGATATTTTTCCACCCATTCCAAAATGAGCGAACCACACCACACCAGCTTCTTCGGAGGCACTGCTTCGCCCGTGGTTGGGTTCTTGATCTGTAGCGGTGTGGAAGGTTTCCGAGGAGCGAAATTCATACCTCGCAACGGCGGGAAGATGAACCAGTTATATATTACCCCTTGGCTAAGGGGATTCAACCCCCTGTAGGTCCAAAGTCCCCCTACCTTCCCAATCGTAGATAGCTGGTTAGTACAGAACCTCCATCAACATGGCAAAGAAATCGGTTGATAATCAATTGTACGAACACAATCCATTCAAGGTTTATCTTTGTACTTCCAATTCAAACTCATCAAGCTAGAATTTACTGTAGAATCTATAGTTTTCAGTCATGTCCGGCAATCTGTTTAAACACTTAAAGTTCTTAAGTACAATCCCTGCTTTATGTACAGCCGACCCCACCTTCACAAAATGCAGGTGGCTAGATAATTACTCATCAATAAATAGAGGTTTTAATGGACTTCAATGGGAACATCATCGAACTAAATGGGGAATTTTCGATCCCATAAACCATCCATCTGCGGATCATAAATCATCCCAAAATGCCCGTTGAAAATCACTTTAATCCCATTAAAACCTCCGTTTAGAAACCTCATTCTTAGGACAATTGAGAAAAACATGTGTTCAAAACATGCAAAACAAGGATTTCAATCCACGGTGATGGCCACGTTATTTTTCTCAGTTCCAAGCCTATTTTCTAGACTGATAACCCCATTTATAAGTTGTACCGCGTTAAAAATCCCATGAACGTACCCCTCAGCCACAGAAAATCATGGGAAACCCCCACGGGCTCTGCCAGGTGGCTGATAGTATCAATAGGCTTTCCACCTCAAATCAGCAGAACAAGCTGGGTGAACTGTGGGCGCCCCCCAAAGTCTTGAGCTTTGTCATATGATGCGGCATAGATGCATACATATATATATATATACATAATTATGTATACAGTATATATATATATGTATATATATACTGGTTGGTGGTTTTAACCCCTCTGAAAAATATTATATAGTCAATTGGGATGATTATTCCCAATATATGGAAACATAAAATTCCATGGTTCCAAACCACCAATCAGTATATATTTGATGGTGATGATATCTGTTTATGACTTAACATTTAGAACCCGATTCGTAAACTTTGGGATTTCACCGTTTCACCCAACATTGGGAATCTGGATATCACTAGCATCCCAAGTGGTGAATCTTGTACGTCGACTTGGTTCAACTAGTTCACTAAGACATTAAACACGTAGACTTGGAGGGAAGGTCATCTGGTGCTGTGATACTTTTATCAGTGGCAGTACCATGGCTACTTCTACCGTACTTCTTCTAACAAATGATATGATGAAGTTGAACCTAAAACCCCAACAGCATGTCTGTGAAGAATGTTTTTTTCCGGTGGTTTCTTGGGCTTTTATTGCAGGCCATTCTATGTTCTGTGGACCGATGGGTGTATCCAATTTTTCTTGGCTTTATTAGCATCAATCCAGATATGTGCTGTCAGACTCCATCCATTTCTGGTCATCCCCATTGAGGGTCTTCATTTCCATGTTTTTTTTTTCAGAATCCTCATTAAAAAAAGTGGATTCGAACGGGAGCTGGGGCTTATGTCATGCAATGATTAGAATAAAAAACTGCACAGTAGTGGCTGGAAACTAATCCAGGTTCCTTTGTTGATGGACAAACCTACAAAAATTGTTGTCCTCATGTCCGTTGATAACATCCATCTAAACTCCCATCCTGGCGATATTCCAAAATAGATTTTTCCCATCGACCAGCAAAAAAAATCTTCTTGGAATTTACCATACAGTATTCAATATTATTAAATATGCCCTTATATCAAAATATAAATCATGTAAATAATATCGATATATATATAATTATGTTCACTGTTACTATATATTATATTCTTTGTGTATAATTATATATATATTATATACAATACATATATAATGTATACATATATATAACACACATATATATATATACATTCTTGTATATCTAAAAATGTTATTCCCATTTTTTTTATGGTCAACAGCTATGGTGAAGAGCACCAAGGCACTTGTGGGATCCACGATCTGCAGCAACCGAGGTTTTGGTGGCGAGAACTCGGGCACTCCTGGAACCGCCGCAACTTCGGCACCTGAGCGACGGCGGCCCGAGGGACGGTTGGCGGTGTCAAAGGGCCGGGTGGATTTATACAATGTGAGGGCCCCTGTTCGATATCTAAGTTGGTGAACATAACTCCAATAACTATGGTTTATGGTAGTTATAACTATAGTTACTGGGGCGAATCTAAACCAACTTATAACTGGGGGGCCTCACATTGTAGTTATAGTCTACCATTCAGTTATAGTTATCTATAGCTTATAGTACCATAACTGATTTCTACCATAAGTTATTTCTGTAAGTTGATTTATAGTTGGACTTACCATAGACACTACTGAAGACACTACCGAAGACATAGTTGTCTATGGTTTATTTATTAGATTTAGTTATTAGACTTAGTTATAGTACCATAAGTTATTTCTACCATAGTGTCATCATAGTGTCAGTTATTTCAATAGTACCATAAGAAGTATATCAGTATATACTTATCTATAGGTTATAATTATTAGAGACACTACCATAGTAAAGATATATAGTATAAGTCTCTCACACTATAATTTGATTTATAGTTACAGAATACCATTAGATTTATAGCTATTGATGTATAAATAGCATTAGTATTATAGTATACTTGGGTGATTTATACTGTTATTAGAGACACTACCATAGATACCATAGTATAAGTTATCATATACCATAGATATATACCATTAGTATTAAGTTATCTACCCCTGTTCATCATCCATTTTAGATTGGGATTTTCCCTTATAACAAATTCCAGCTACTGGGGTACCCAAATTTATGGAAACCCCCGCTTTTGGTTGGAATCTTTGAAAGCATTTGATTGGTTTTCTTGGCTTTGTTTTGTTCAAATAAATTGTGGATGAGTTTTCAACATTGATAATATGATGTATTTATTAAATGGGTCATCTGTCATTTAGTTGTTTGTCTGTGTTTTTGCTTTGATCTGAATCTAAGTTTTTATTTTAAGCAGTTTAAGAGTCTGATTGTCCAATGTTATCCAGTGTCCTATCATGTACTATTTACAAAGCAGTGGGGCTAACAATCACAATCATCGACAACAACAATTCCAATTGAAATCGAACCCAAACCACGCAACAACGCAGGGGGTATATCAATCTGGGAATCGCATTAAGTCAGTTGAATATGGAGAACACAACAAATTAGTCTTTCTTGGTGCTCAGTAGGGAATGGGCGAATGAACCAATCCATATACGTATGAACAATCATCCCATTCCCCCATTCCCAACATTTAACATCAGTAAGATCAACTGGAGGTATGGAAAATTGCTAAAACTAAATTGAAGTTGCTGGGAACAATCATCGGAATACATGTGGGATCGATCTAAATTCCCAATATATAAGTAGTTGAAATACGTTGGATAGCAAAAAATCAGAGCTTCTTCTCAGCTTGGATTTGCACGGGTTGGGTCGAGAAGTCGTCAGGAACAAATTATGGGATTGTCCACTGCCTATGTGTTGCGAAAAAAACAGGAAAAACACACACACACACACCTCTCTCTCTCTCTCATTATCTCTCCCGGTATATTGTTGCATATTACGTGTCAATATATTGACATATTAACAGATTACCATACTACAAATACTTACATATTACTATTGCAAATTACATAGTAAACATATACAAGTTAATATACGTGATATTATCTACTCTGATCATTCAAATCAAATCTTAGTTTCTACAGTTTATCAGAAGAACTCCAAGCTTTAGCTGCAGAACAAACATATTGTACTGGAAGAAGGACTTCATCAACATCACTAAAAAGGGAATCGGTCAAGCTGGCAATGGACAATAATCATTTTTTTCAAAGCTAATTAAAAAAAAAAAACACCATCCTCAAAAGTGTTGTGGGTTTTCACCATCACCAACTTTTCATGTTTACCCCCAGTCACCATGAAAAAATCTAGTAGTGCTATGGTTACCATTCCCAGTCAGACGGCTTGGTTGGGATGGTCTCGACACTCGGGATGGTTATACCATCAGACCGTATCAACACGGTTAACCACTTGACGTTGCTATGGAAACATCACCAGTCTTAATGGAAATATATGGAAATCATCATCATGAAAAATAATATTCAATATAATTCATTTATTTTTGCAGGCCATTTTCCATAGATAGATGTTAAGTAACCAAAGGGTATGTCCCGCGGCCATCCTGGGACTGCTGAGAGTAACCACACCCACTTGCACCCCCTCATGGAAAAGAACAACAACAAACCAACCTACTAAGACTTACTGATTACATCTGATTACATAAAGTCTCCATAATCAGTCATTCATAGAGCATTTTCCCCAGCTATAAACCTCCATTTATAGCAGAAATTCGAGCTTGCCATGTTTGATTACCGGTGAGTAAACCAAATTGGAGCAATCAAAAAGATCCCTATCCCATCTCATCAAGTTGGTTCATATGTTTCCCGAAGGTAATCAGTGTCCCAAATAACCTTGGTAGTATAATTCTCAATCAATAACATCCAATCAACCAGGGTATTTTAAATGGCTCAATTTAGAAACTCACAGCACGAAGCAAGTCCCAGTGACCCTCCGCGGTCGCATCAGCTTTCTCTTCCCCTTCCGCTGGTGCTGGGGCCGGTGCTGCGGCAGCTGCCGCGGCGGCGGCAGCGGCTGCATCATCCCCGCCTTTCTGCTCCTTGCCTTTGCCAGCGCCTTTCATGCCCTTGCCACCCCACTTGCCCTTGGAGGCTTCATACATGTGCATATACCTCAGTCATGCAGCAAAAAAACATGAAGGAAAAAATCGAATACACCTGAAAGAGAAGAGCAATACCTCTGAGACATTAGACCACACCCAAATCAGACGTCCTCTAAAAAGCCATGTTCCTAGGACTTCTCGCCGTCCTGAACCTCAGATTTTTCACATCTAGCCTAGAGCAAACTAAGATAGCTATGAAGAAACACCATGTGATGGGAAAATAATCTACAAACATGCTATTTTCATCCATTTACCATAGGCATGGTTTACCAAAGAGCAACACCAGCTTCTCCAAGCCATGATATCTACTTAGACCCAAGTAGTGATGAAAGGATTAGTACACCTTATCCAGCCCATCCAAGTCGCTGCTGCTGCTGCTGCATCTGTTGATGATAGGCCGCATAGGCTGCTGCTTGCGCCTGCTGGGCAGCAAGCTGCTGCTGCATGTAGGGATTCATGGCGCCGTGCATGGCCGGGTTCATCATAGCGCCATACATAGCCTGGGCAGATCAGCAGATTTTATAGGGACTGGGACATAACCAATAAATACCAATTAACAGTATTCTGAAATTCTTGGGTTTGCCCACACATTGGGTATAAATTAAACAATGATGAGAATGCATTGCATCGGAACTTCCGGGTGCCACATTATTGGCGGAACCATGCGCAACCCCATTCCTCCCCTGCTCTCTGCTCCGCCCATATTCTTTGGTGGTCTCTGTGTTGCAACACTTGCCCCCACCCCCGACTTCTACGAACTCCAACTCCACCATTCCCCGTGCCAAATGAAAGTTGGTCATGCTCAGTATTGAAGAATCGGTCAACCATCGAAGCATAGCGACGCAATCCATAAACATCAAACATAGTCTATCATAATCTTTTAGGTAGGCCCCCAACCAATATCTCGTCCATAGTGTTTTGTAATTCCAAATGGGTTGATAGCCGCAAGCCACCTTTAAGAAAAACACATCACACATAGCCAGTTGATCAAAGTTGCCAAAATTCACAGTCAATTTCCGGGTGCTGCAATCTCCTTTCCCCTGCAACATGATGAGAACCAATACATCAATGTATGTATATATAATCATATATATATAATCACATTTATATATATATATATTATGTATTATATATATACGTATGCTACAAGGTGGTGGGGCACCCCGGTTCGATAGCAAAGTTGGTGCCAATAGCTCAAAAAAAACAAGGACTTATGGTAGATATATCTACAGTATTCATGGAGTTAAGAACCAACATAACTAGGGGGGTGGACCACATTCTACTAGGCTTTCGGCCTTCGGCCTTCAATATGACCCATCTTTTCTGGTTCAATCACCATGCTAAATGGTGCTAACTTACCATATCATTATGTCTTGATGATTAAAGCCACATGGCTACTGATTAAATTCCTCATGTTCTATGGTTAAATCAGCTCAAAGCACTTTAATTGACCTTGTTTGTTGATGTTTAGCTCATCTCTCAAGTCATGTAATCTCACAGGTTTGACGATTGAAGTTGATGAAATCCCTATATTTCTCTATATTCCCAGCACCAGGCCAGGTGGCGTTGTAGTAGGGGTTGGGTTGCGGCATTGGTGGATGTCCCATGTGCATTGGTGGCGGCGGCGGTCGCAGGGCGCCCCGCCCCGCCATCATCGCGGCGGGGGCTCCCGCGGGCACCGGCGCGGGACCGATGCTGCCTGGGGGGGCGTTCATGGTGTCCTCGTAGAGCCTCAGAGGTTGTCGGTCATGGGATCCAACAAAACATCGCCGCTGTCATGTTCCCGACATCAATCCGGGATCAATATGGGTTATGTGTTTGGAAGATTTTGGAATATTATGAATCACTTTGGAATATCCCACAAAATTATGAATATATCCACATATTATTCTGTTTCGAAGATTTTGGAATATATCATCAACCCACCCAAAAAAAATATGAATCACTCTGGAATATCTTCGGGATTCCCAAGGCCCCAAGGTTTGCGGCATCAGCATCCCCAAAAATTTCATGTCTATCTGCAAGTGAGGTCACAATGTCCTTCTCCATACCTAGATAAGATGCAGTATCATCAATACATACATATATTATATATATACATACATATATATATATATTATATATATAAACATAGATAGTACGTATATCTATATCAAATAGATATGTGGTTTTGGTGCTCTCAAATGTCCATGAGATACACATCTTTCAAGCCACGAAAGAACAAAACCAGAGATCCCCCATTGGCTTCTCAGCGCCAGCGCTCCAGCGCCAGGGCGCTGATCGAAGAATTGGGCGATCTCATCCACCGTCAATGGCGAGTCCTTCTCTTGCTGATGTCCCCAAGCCACAAAGATGTCGGTCACCACTTCGCGGCCAGAGCCCTTGTCCTTGTGCCTCTTCCTGGGTGGGAATGGAACTTTGATTGATATATATATATATATGTGTGATATATAAGCTATAAAATATATTTTTTTCAATATATATATTATATTATATTATATTATATTGTATTATATTATATTATATTATATTGTATTATATTATATTATATTATATTGTATTATATTATATTATATTGTATTATATTATATTATATTATATTGATACATGTCTGATGTTTTCTTAGGAGGGCCGCTGCATGGCCAACCAATACACACAATAGTGTTCACATCCCAAACTTCCCAACTCATTTTTTGACATTACCCTTAAAGTTCCACACGCGCGCCCAACGGTACTAGCAGCTGTCAGATTTAGAAGGTATAGGAGGTTGTATTTCTTCAGTGTATATGAAAATCATTATCTGGATATATTAATTTATGTATATGAAATATGTGTATATCATTGTATATCATCACTGTAAACATAAACACATTATATATATAAATATGGTTACCAATGACATGATGTGTTTTCTCAACAAAGATGGATATTTGATGGAACTTTGACACATTTGATCACGAGATCCTAAGGATCTTAAGTCTTAAGCAGCATTTCTGCATGACAGGACATTCGGGGAAACAACACCATCTCCATCCGAAAAGGCATCGAAGTGACATTGTTAATGGTTGGAAATGTGTATATGTTTGTATATACATGCATACAGTACTAGTGGTAGAAGTATCAGGATGTAATAGGTGCAGAAACACATCATATATCTTATCATGGTTCATGTTCAACCTCAAAGACAAGAATCAAATCTGTTGTTTCTGTTAATTTGTTCAGTATTCTGAATGTATATATATATACAGTGTTGTACACATATGCATATACAATCTTATACACACATCATATTGCTTCCTCTGCCCAACCTTCTATCACTGCCCTCTGGTAAACTAACATAACTATTGGAAACAACTATCTTTAATAAGGTAAATTAACGATAAATGGGCCATTGTCAATAGCTATGTTAGTTTACCAGAGGGTACCTTTTCCAACCGTTCCAAGTGACAGCTGCACCTTCACATCCGCAATGTCCATCTCCAGCTTCCCGGCCGCCGATCGCCCGAAGGTCTTCTCCGCATAGCACATGATGGCCTCGCGCGTTTCGGCGGTGCTCAAGGAAACCACGGCGCAGCCCATGCCGCTGTGCTTGTGCACCTGGCGAAGGGGGAGAGCTTGGCTTTGGGATAGGAGCTGAAAGGGAATAGAAGTGAAACATCTATGGAATTGTGATGAATTGTGGAAGAGTTGATGAGATTTTACGGAGATGTTGTGGGAATTTCATGATTTCATGATGGTTTGAAGGCCATATCCAGAGCAATAAGTTTTTAAGCATCAAATTGGTGGATATAGTGGCATGGATGTACTTGGGATATCATGGGACATGGGATAGAACCATCCAATGGGGTTACAAAACAAATCGTTGTGGATATAGTCTGGCATGTTGTATGATATAGTTGGAGACATGGATAGTTGCAGTAGTTATCTGGTGATCGCAACTGGTTTACCATGGTCAAACTTCATTTAAATTTTCACCATTCTCTGATGCTGAAATTCTGCAGAAAAAAACATAGATCAGTGGGGTTTTGTCTCAACAAATGCTAGCTAGCCCTAAATCTACCTTATCTGGTCGGTGGTATACCTTCCCCTCTGAAAAAAATGAGTTCGTCAGTTGGGATGATGACATTTCCATGATACGTTCCAAACCACCAACCAGATATACCCTCCAGTAAATCAACATAGACCCTGCCAGATAGGGGTTGAAAGACGAGTTTCCACTATAAATTGAACAGTTTCAGGGTCTATGTTAATTTACCAGAAGGTAATAATTACTGAATCACCGTTTCCCCTTTAAATTGGCGATGCATTGGGGATCTCCCCATCTCCTCACCTGGCAATGGGACCCCGTGGCTTCCACCGGCTGCTTGCCACCGGAGTCGGGATTACCTGCCGCGAAGAAGAGGAGCTGCGCGGAGGATTTTCGATGCCCTTTTCACCATCACTACTTACCCTCTGGTAAACCTACAAAAAACTATGGAAAATCACCATGTTTCATAGGTAAATCAACTATTTCTATAGCCATTTTCAATAGCTATGTAACAAATTACCAGAGGGTACGTTTCAATTGTATATCAAGCATGTTAGTTCTTGGAGGTTTAACAAGGTTTCGATGGCCGGGTGTTTCGGTGGCCGCATCCGAAGGCTCGACCAAAAAAATATGGGCGGTTTCCAAAGCCATGGAGGTACCCCCAAGAATTGGATAGTTTATAATGGATGTCCATTGGATAGTCTATCATAATTTGGATAACCCATAGTTATAATGGATAACCCAAATTTAGTTTTCCAATTATAATGGACATTCCAACTAAATTTGGATGATAACTGGGCGTACCCCAGAAACTGGGAAACATCCATGAAACATCGAAACGTTGCTGGTTTCACTCGAAAAATGACAACATGATGGTCATCCCAGGTTTGGGCAGTTAGATCCTCTGTTGTTCCCATCTGTTTCTCAACTTCTCCATCGTTGACCTCATTGTTTTTGTTGTGCCACACATATGCAGCAGTATGGGTAAAGTACCAAACATTGGTGGGAAACTAATTACCCATATTCTGCGGCTAAGTCGCGGTGTATGAACTTGGGTCTCATTGGATTGTATAAAATGGCTTTGTCTGGGATTAGGATACCCCATCCCATCCATTAATCAATTCATGGTACAACAAAAAAAAAACGACATATCTCATCCGTGGATCAAGTACAGATCAATTTTCTGATTGGCCATCAAATGACATCAACTGATGCAGGGCTTGGTAAATGTCCAATTATTGTTCACATCACCGGCCCCTATTGGGGATAGAATTTCCAACAGATATTTGAAGGTTACCCTCTGGTAATTTGTTACAGTTTGCTATTGAAAATGGCCATAGAAATAGTTGATGTTCTTATTAATAGCATGGTGATTTTCCATAGCTATGTTAGTTTACCGGAGGGTATGTTCAAAATTCCCAAACGAGACATTGACCAACCCCATTTTTGTGGCCATCAAACAATCATCCACAATCAACTGGCGAAAATCAGAAGTCTTTCTATTGAATATGTTCCATCCGTCGGTGACTACGCCATTCCATCCATGGTTACTTCAGTTGGTGATATGGATCATGATCTATGCATCTAACCCAGACCTAATATCTAAAAATAGTATTGATTTTCTGATTATGGATGGTGATGGCCATATCCATTTTCCCATGGCCATGGCTGCCAAGGGACGCTTCACCCTTTCGATCTTGCCCTTGGACATCTCCTCAGATGTTTTGCATTGGAAAGTCAGCACTTTCTGCGCTTAGAGAATGTATTGTGTAAAAAAACAATAACAATGATTATGATCATATAGTCTAGTAATAAGTCAACAACCTGAAATGTTCGATGGTTTTGGGATAGTTTCCCTTACATGCGCGGTCGTTTCAATTTACCCGGATGTATTGGGGGGCAGTGTTTCCCAACATGTGACTTTTAAGTACAATGTGCGAACCAATGTCAACTACCCAACCAGCAGCCAGGACCCAAATTGGGAGGTATTTGGATTTGGATATACATATATATATATATACAGTATATATATATATATATTGTATATATACATACATGGATAAAACCCAGTGCCCAGGTACCCAAATCAAATGATGAACCAACAATCGCAGGGGTCTTTGCGACTGCAATGGATGTCACAAGCGACCTAGAACTGGAATGATATCGATGTGGCTATAACCCACACCAATAAATACATATCAACCATGAACCACGAGGCCAACTATTATCATTCATAAACGATAAACGGGTTTGGGTGAAAACAAGGTACCTCATGGTACCACTGGCTTTATCATAAGTTTGTTCATTTAAATGGCCATAACAGGGGGTAGCTCAATTTTCAGACACACCCAAATGGGGGTTTCCATAAATGGGAGATCCCCAATAGCTGGATGGTATATAATGGAATATCCTGTTACAATGAATGATTTGGGGGTACCGCCATTTTTGGAAACCTCCAAATAACCCTGGCTTGGGGAATATTTCCACATGGCTCATCATTTTAAAGTGAGGGTCAGCGAGATTGTTATAATTCACCCACTGTTACCTCCAAACGATGATGTTCTTGGTTGTATCCCTAGTTTGTGAATGATGATATCATTTCCCTTCGTTGCTGGATACCTATGGCATTCATCAACTATCATACAATGGTTAAATCACCTTATGCTCATTGTGAAATACATAGATTAAACATATATTAAGATTTTTGTCTGAAAATTGGGTACCCCAATCCATAACATTTGCTTCCATTGGAGAATTCACAAATTTGCCTATGTTAGAATGGCCGCAAATGTCCGGTAAATTGTTTTCAGTCACCCCCATATCATATATTTAAGTCATAGATGTTATTATAACCCACCACAAACCGAAATCTTCACCTGATTAAATTAAATAACTTGAAAAAACCTTAACACCAGAGTTTCCCATCGAAAAATCATACCCTCTGGTAAGCTAACATAGCTATTGAAAATGGCCATTTATAGTGGATTTACCCATTAAAAATGGTGATACTCCATAGCTACGTTAGTGTACCAGAGGGTAAATCACTTTGTATCTTTCAAGATTTTTGTCGATCACATCCCAGGCGCCGCTTCCACCTCTGCCACGGTCT